TGTTATTTCTTTGTTGCATTGAGTGCTATAAGATCAACTTACTTGTTATTAATGTTAAATTCGTATCATTAATTGTATTAAACACCTTATCTCGTCAAGTAGCCATTTGTAATTGTTGCTTTCACATATCAAAATTGCAATTACATTCACACAAACTTCTATAAATTAAATGGTCTTTTGTTGTATTACATATAGGAAATTAACTTGTTAATTATATGGTAGAAAACATATTTTAATTGAGAACATGAAAGATTTTCAATCACAAGATAAGGTTTGTTGGATTAGAGAGATGTTGAATATATTTTGTGATATTTGTATCAAAGCAATTGAGAAAGGTATGCTAAACACATATTTTAACAAAAATATATGAAAATATGTTATGACTTGATTTAAGGAGCATACCAACCATGCATTAACAAAAGCACAATTAAAGAATAAAGTGGGATGGAGTAAAAAAAAGATTGGAGAATATAGAAAAATTGATTTTTGAAATAAGAATGAGCTGGGGTCCTGAACTTAAAACAATTTTAGCAGCTGATGAGTGGTGAAAATCTAAAGTTAAGGTCTGTTTTTATTTTAGAATATGTATGATTATTATAAATTATTTTATTATTTGTTCTTATGATTATAATGATTCATTTATATCTTTATTTTCTCTTGTTGTTGGAGATACATGGAGCTTGAAAGTTTAGGTATTTTGGAATCAATCCCATATTATGTTGTAAATATGATATCATGTTTACAAACATTGTGGCTACTAGTCAGTATGCTTGGACTCCATCACAGGGTTTGAATTTTGATGATGATGGTGTAGGTGAAAGGAGAAGGAATGCTACCAATGAGGATTTACATATAGAGAAAGGTAATGATGATTCAGAGGAGGATATTTTATCAAATTTTATAGGAGATGTCAATAATATGGTTGTTGGTGTTAACTTTGCTAATAGTAGTAGCAATCCTACTATTAGTAATGAAAAGAGAAAAGGTGTTCAATAATGTACACAAAAAGAGCGATAAAAAAAGTTCAAGAATGAGAACATAACTTTTTTGTTTTTAGATCATTTGGTTGATAGTGTCTCTACTAGGAATGAATGTACATCTAGTTGTTGGGGTAGAAAAAGATGTAGCATAGAAGTGGTCATGAAGGAGTTTCACTCCATTAAGGAAATAGTTTTTAGCAGTGAGTTTTATTATTTTACAAATGAGTTTTTCATGGTTAAAAACAAGAGAAAAATATGGGCAACAATTGGAGATAGAGAAAGAAAATTTCAATGACTCAAATTAATGTTTGAGAGGAAATCAAATGTTAAACCTTAGTGTAAAGGTAAATATGATATGATCTACTTAAAGTTATCTCTAAACTATTTCTTAGCAATTGAAGTTGATTATGATTTATATATATTTTTGGTATCATCTGAATTTCATATTTGACGTCTAATATTATTGGATATGTTATTACAATAATTTGTTTATTGGATTTTAAATGCTTCATGAACATTATTTTCATATTTGAATTGCAATTAATATATTTTGGTGCTGTGTTTTTTATAGTTAGAAAAGATGTGATATGCTGATCTGGATATCAATATTACTGCTAATATGTTGTTGTCCATTGCTTTATAAATTAAATGGTTGCTACAAAGTATGAGATTGAATATATAAAATTATGATTTATTTTTAAAACAATGTGCTATAAAGTACAAAGTATGAGATTGAATACACAAGATTATGATTTATTTTTAAAACATTATGTTATAAAGTTAGAATTGCTGAATTCTACTGCATTTTATTGGTGACTATTGTTAAATTCTATTATGATCTTATTAGAAGTTGGAATATTAAGTGAGAAAGTTGTTTGAATGGTTGTTAAACATTTGGTTTGTTACTTTCATTTCAGCTCATGTGAAATTTTATTGGTTGTCTATTTAAAGCACACTAACAATAACAACACATTTATTACTTCCAACAATTAATGTAAAACAAGTTTGCACTATATAGAAGGCATTTCATCTGATGCATTTTGAATTTCTTTGTATTTAAAAAGGTAAGTTGTCATTTTTCAACTTATATATTAAGGTTTATGTGCAATCATAGCCTTATATGAAGTTTTTTTTTATCCTCATTCCATCTTAATTAATTGACTGGATTTTATTAAAGTAAACTTTTAACATCATGTATGTAACTGATTTCGTCTATATATATTTGTGACAATTTCATGCGTGGAAAGAAATCTCTCTTTTGTAGATATGGATGCAAATTGGTTTAATGATCTATTTGATGAAGAGTATGACAATGCTATGAATAATGTTATTTAACATGTCTCAAATGGTTCTGGTGGTAGAAGTAGTAGTAGTGATTTTGGATGCAGTAGCGGTGCTGGTTATAACAATAATACAGATGATGACGATGACAACGATGATGGAAATGAACAAAATGATGATATGGAATGATATTTGTTTTGGCTTAGAGAGTTTGATCGGTGTAAACTATTGTTATACATGGCTGAAGGACTTGCTTTGTATTATAATAGTTATATTTATAAGAAACTATATATGGTTTCATACAACACAGAAATAAGATGGTTAAATGAAATTTTAAATAGACATTGGATACATTATGTTAACATGTTTAGGATGGATACAGACACGTTGTAGAATCTGTGTGTTGATTTGGAAACGTTGTACGAATTAAAGTATTTTAGGAGGATGAGTGTTATTGAGAAGGTAAACATGTTTTTCTATACTTTAGCTCTAGAAGCTTCAAACATGAAAGTTCATGAGAGATTTCAATATTTAGGTGAAATTGTTAGCGGATATTTTAATAAAGTTCTCAGGTGGATATGCTTGCTAACTGTTAAATTATTCAAATCGGTAGATCCAAAATTCTCCACACTATCAACATAAATCACAAGAAAAATAATTTTTTAAAATAATTTTATAATTGAAAAGGTTACAAAAAAGTATTTTGATTACATTTGAATTGATTAATAAACTATTTTTTTATGTAATATTGTATTGGAGCGATTGATGGAACATATATATGTGTTTTTGTATCACAAGAAAATCAAGTACCATTTATTAGCAGAAAATGTATACCCATTCAAAATATAATGGTGTCATGTAGCTTTGATATATAATTTACGTTTGTTTGAGTTGAGTGGGAAGGTAGTGCATATGATACAAGAATATTTCTTGAGGCGATTGACAATCCAAATATAAAATTTACAAAGCCACCAGAATATATTGAGAAATAAAAAAGTGTGGGTATGTATTGATTTTTCATGTAATTTTCTTTTCGGTCTATGATAATAATTAAATTTTAAATGAACACTATCTTAATGTAGGAAAGTATTATCTTGTTGATCCGGGATATCCAAATTAGTACAATTACTTGAAGCCATATAGAGATGAGAGATATCATCTTTCAGAATTTTATCAATGAGGTCAATTGCAAAGTCGAGAAGAATTATTCAATCTTATCCATTTATTGTTACGATGTGTAATATAATATATTTTTAGAGTTTGGAAAAAAAAGGTGGAGAATGTTGCAGATCATGCCTATGTTTCCTTAGAAAATATTAGTTCAAATTGTTATCGCATTAATGACACTATATAATTACATTAGAAGGAAATCAATCCGAGATGTTGCATTCAATGAGTTTGATCGTCATCTTGATTTTGTTCTTGATGATATTTTAACCAATGTGATTCTACGATCATAAAACTCGTGGGCACCAAAAGGCTTCGCTTATAGATTATGTTTGTGATGACATTACAACAAGTTTGATGGGGCAATAATGCTTTTTTTTGTTTAAAATAAACAATTTCTTTTTATGTCTGTTATTGTTTCTATTATTTGTTATTTGTGTTATTTAAAACATAAATTTTAAATTTGTGTCATTTTATCATTTTATGTACAATATCAATCCCAACCATAATTTTAACCAAACATATCATGACATGCTTTTAGACAAAAAGATAATTCAAACCACAATTTTAATCAAATATATATTTTATATAAACTAACCACAACAAAAGCGATATCTTCAAAATCACTTTTATCAAACCAAAACCACAATAATAAAAATATTATTTTAATATATTTTTGAATGAAAAATATTTTAAAAAGTAATTATTACCACAATACCAAATACTACGTACTTTGGTGTTTGAAACAGTGATAGAAGTTGCTTTTCACTTGAAATTGTATCAAAATAATATATTTTTTAAAAGATTTATTTCCAACATCAACATATCAAAATAATTTAATAACATAAAAAAATATTTTCAAAAATTTGCAAAATTGTTGTTCAATTGTAGCACCAAATACCTTTTCAGACCTTGTTTGGCGTAGTGGTTGAACCATCATTTTACAAAATTTTTATTTTTTAAAATTAATTTTTTTAGTGTTTTTAGATTATTTTGATGTATTAATATAAGAGATAAATTTCAACTACATCAATCACAACAGACACTAATTTTTTAAAACTTGTTATTTTATATCATAACTATAAAAGCTATCACATCAAAAAAGAATTAGGTATTAAAAAGATGAAGGGGTGTTTGAGAGTGTATTAATAGTTGCTTTACAAAGTATTTTTTTGTTTGTAAATATATTAAAATAATTTTTTTTTTATTTTTTAAAAATTATTTTTAATATTATTACATCAAAACTACCCAAAAAAATATAATAATAATAATAATAATAATAATAATAATAATATATTTTTTTTAAATTAAAAACTTGGCCGCCCTCCTCTCATTTTAAAACACAATACCAAAAAAATGAGGTAAAAGAAAGGATCTTCATGTGTCACACCACTATTGGGTTTGAGTTGGGAAGAACTGAAGAAGTAAACAAGTTTTCCGAGTGAGGGCAAGATAGGGTTGTAAGTTAGAAAAGGGTGTTTTTGGAATAAAGATCTCGACCGCTGTTGTTTAATTTTGTACGAATTTAATAAATTAAATTCCATATTCTTAATTCAAATCAGTACAATAAAATAAAAAATATTCCAAACACCCTGAATAATTCTCACTTTCCCTCTTCTCCTTGTTCAGCAAGCTTTTTCAATACCCAAAACACAAAAAATAAGAGGGAGACCAAGGGCAGAGAGAGAGAGAGAGAGATGGAGAAAAATGAGACCTTGTCAGGAGATAAACCTCGTCCATGGCAATCTTACCACACAGTTTACACTAACGCTAAAGCAGGTAATAAAAATCTCTACATGGGTTGATTTATTCACAATTATTTCACCTAGTACTTGCAAATTCTTGACATTTTTATTCGAGTTTCTTCGTTATTTGATCGATGTTGGTTATGTTTTATTGGAAATTAGATTAAACAATGTGTTATAAAAAAAATGTTTTTAGGTATGGAAGGAGTGGACAAAGAGAAAGTGCAAAGAATAGTTTATGAAAGCAGTAAAGGATCAAAGTATTTTGAGAACGAGGAAAAAAAGGAGGCTGTATTGAGGCAAAAAATTGAAAACATGCGTGCCCAACGTGCCAAGCTTAGTGCTGCTGATCTCTCTCATTATCAAACTGTAAAGCTCAGAAACTCCCTACAAATGTCCGTGGCTTTTATTTTTGTTCCTCTTGGAAATCTATATGGTTTTGTAATTTATACTATGATTTATAGGTGGCTGATAGAAGAATTTTAGAGCTAGAAGCCACGCGTGATCTTTCGAGGATTTGGTTACATGTGGATATGGATGCTTTCTATGCCGCTGTTGAAACATTGAGCAATCCTTCATTGAAAGGGAAACCGATGGCTGTTGGTGGCATGTCTATGATCTCGACCGCTAATTATGAGGTTTAGATTGGATGTTACTGTTGTTTTCAATGTGGGTTTTGTTTGAAGGACTAATTGTCTATGTATCTGCTTCGTTACTCTTCTTTTTTGTGAACATGGTATTTGATTACTTTGTAGGCACGGAGGTTTGGAGTTCGTGCTGCAATGCCTGGTTTCATTGCACGTAAATTATGCCCGGAGTTAATTTTTGTTCCTACAGATTTCAAGAAGTATACTCATTACAGTGAATTAACTAGAAAAGGTTAGTCAATAGGGTTCTAATAGAGATTATGTAATGCTTTCTCTTATCATGTGCAAATATCTGACTAACACATGCTTCTCTATAGTTTTTGAGAAATACGATCCTAATTTCATGGCTGCTAGTTTGGATGAAGCATACCTGGATATAACCGAGGTCTGCAAAGAAAGGGGCATGTCTTGTGGAGAAGTATGTTGATGGGTTTTCTTACTTTTGCTTTTCTATTGAATGCTGTTCTACATTATATTGTGTTGACATTCACTTTTCTGTTTATGCTGCAATTGTGAAGATTGCCGAAGAACTTAGACAATGCATCAACGAGGAGACTGGCCTGACATGTAGTGCTGGAGTGGCCCCAAACCGCTTACTTGCTAAGGTTCTTTTAGCTGTTCCCTTATTTCGTTGCAGTTTGTGTCCAGCATGGACTTCCATTTGGCATCTTCCCATTTCTTTTAATAGTGACATAGAAAGTACTGAAAAAAGCAATTTTTATAAAATTCACAACAGAACAGATGTCTCCATGGATAAAAACTTTAAGAACTACTCACGATGAGAGATTAATTTAGTGGATGACATACAATAAATTTTTTTGATGGCAAGCTAGTTTAAAAATATTTATACTGATCAAATATAAAGGGCTTATCTTTTACACAATAAGCTGCAAGTAACTATTAGAGGCATTAATGGCCTTCTGAAATGTGCAGGAAGCATGCAAAGCATAAAAAAAGGTCTCAAGATGGTTAAGTTTGAGTGAAGTCAATTTTAGAAATCTCATCAATAGCCCAATGTAAGTTGTTCAGTATTGTAGCCTTGAGTGCATTCAATTCAAGGTGAAACTCTTGTTATGATGTCTGAGTGAATGGCTTTGACATTTTATTCGCCTGAATTTTGATCACATGCATACTTGATCGGGCCTTAGAATAGGACAAATTTGGTCAAAGAATTTCAAAGTCTGCAAAACGTGGTCTTTGACATATACTGAATGAATTATCCTAAGCTTCAGTAGTAAACTCATAAAAGACTAATCTCATGCTCTTGCATTTAAATTATTGCCACCTAATCAAACTGGAGTATGCTACCAAAAAAGAAGAAGAAAAAGACAGGTAACCTAGAAAGGGGTGGAGGTTTTCATTTAGATAATGCATTTTACAGTACAAAAGTCTACCATATATATTCACTTGACATGTGCGTGTTCTCAGGTTTGCTCTGATATAAATAAACCCAATGGACAGTTTGTTTTAACAAATGATCGGATGGCTGTCATGACATTTATATCCTCACTCCCCATAAGGAAGGTAAATTTTCTTTGACTTTATTTCAATGAAAGATGTTTCATATTCTTCTGAGGAAAATGCAAAATATCCTTTTTCTTAAAATGTTTCTGAAGTTTTAGTATGATGTCACATGATCGAACTCTATACAGATTGGAGGCATTGGTAAGGTTACTGAACATATACTGAGGGATGCTTTTGGTATTAGTACATGTGAAGAGATGCTCCAGAAGGGCGGGCTTCTCTGTGCACTGTTTTCTCATTCCACAGCAGGTAGTCATTGTCTGGTGTTTTCCTCTGTCATGGTATAAACAATGTGCCTAATTTATGAGGGTATAAACAATGTTAGTCTTTAGAAATAATTGGTTAGGACAATAAAATCTGCTTAACAACTTGTACGGAGCATTGAATCAATACATAATTACATTATTTTGATGTTCCCCTTATGATATCTATGTAAAATGAATCCAGGAGGCCTTTATTCAGGCGGGAAATTCTGACAGTAAGTGGAAGTGACCTCAAATTCTTTATATAAAATAAAACTTTATAGAGTTGAATGCATCATGTGCACAGAGAATTGGTAGGCAGTTACCATCAGAGTGATTCTTGCTGATTTATTGCAGATTTTTTTCTCTCTGTGGGTTTGGGGATTGGGAGGACAGATACCCCTCAAGTCAGGTCCCGAAAAAGTATCAGCAGTGAGAGAACTTTTTCAGCCACGGATGATGAGACACTTCTTTATCAGAAATTAGGTAAGCCTCCTTGGCATATCTATTTTTTTGTAATCTAGTGTATGTACAATTATGTAATGCTTTGTGATGGAGCAGTTGCTTTCTTTTGGCTTTATTACACCTCAAAACTATCTGAAGATTTCTTATTACAGAGGGCTGAGAAATACAGTAATAATATCATTTTTGGCTTTAATACAAAACAACACACTATATATTTGGTTTTGCTTGACATTCAATGTCACACAATTATCTAGAATATTAATGAAATTTTTGACTTAAGTAAGCCTGTTTGAATTGTGTTGGCAGCTGATATTGCAGAGATGCTATGCGCTGACATGAAAAAAGGTGGTCTTTGTGGTCGAACATTGACTCTAAAATTGAAAACTGCATCATTTGAGGTACTTTCTGATTTTTTGTTTTGTTGCCTTCTCTGTGAGAGCGCTTGAGGGCAAATTATAAGATGTAAATGGGTTATGCTGTTTAAAGTTCCTTGCTTCTCTGCACCTTTTGTTGGCTTTTCATTTTCCTGTAGAAGATGTGATTAAGTTTAGGAGGTATGCTCCATTGCTAATGGATTCAAGAAGGGCATTTGATGCTTAACAAAAAAAACAAAAGAAAACTAAAAGTAGAGAAAGAAAGAAGCTAAAAATTAAGAACAGGGAAAGGGAAGTTACGAAGAGGAGAAAATTCAGAGAGGAGAAAATTCAGAGGAGAAATGGTATAAAGTTACGAAGAGGAGAAAATTCAGAGGAGAAATGGTATGTTATTTTATCAATTCATGGAAAATTGTCTCACAAAATCAATAGCTGTCTATGGGGAATTAGCCTTTGACGGTGCCAGCTATTGTCATTAAAATGCTTACTCTCACTAGATTGTCTTATTTGTAAAGTTTCTATGGATTCTATCCTCTCAAAAAAGTTGTTCATTTGATTGGATATGTTGTTCATGTTAGCTTGTATGAGCTGTAATTGCTCTTGAATATCCCTAAGAACATTACTAGAGTTGGGTCCGTGGCAATTGTGAGTTTTGAATTGTGTACTAGATGACCTCTTTGTAAATGCATGCGATACTAATCCAAGGACTATGATTGAGATCACAAATGACAATTGCAAGTAAAACACAATATAAAATCAAAGCTAATATATAATTATTTGTTTATCTTGGAGGCTAAGCAATAACATATTAAACCAGGAAAAAGATCGCAAGCAAGCAATGTTGGTCCTCTAAACACCCACAAGTAGTCCAACCACAATGTTTCAGTTTTCCCACAAATTTAGCCGAGCTCCATAATTAATTAAAAGAGGACTGGATATTCAATACAAGTGAATAAAGAAGCCAACAAAATTAAGTTAGCTCAAATTGCAAGGCGGATTATATTTTTATATGCATGCACAAAAGAATAATATCAATGTTACTTCTTGATCAATAAGTGTAAAAATATACTAGGAACAATGATATTCAATGGTTGAAAGAAGTTTGTAGAGGCTTACTGACCAGATTGTGATGGGAAGATGTTGTAGGACTGGATATTCAATACAAGTGAATAAAGAAGCCAGCAAAATTAAGGTAGCTCAAATTGCAAGGCGGATTATATTTTATATGCATGCACAAAAGAATAATATCAATGTTAATTCTTCATCAACAAGTGTAAAAATATACTAGGAACAATGATATTCAATGGTTGAAAGAAGTTTGTAGAGGCTTACTGACCAGATTGTGATGGGAAGATGTTGTCAGTTACTGTTGCTGACATGGTGAAGCATGCTGACATGGCGCTGACATGTCAATGCTGGCTGTTATGTCATTGGCATGACAATGAGCTGACATGGCATTGACGTGACTATAATATGCTGTTGGTGGTGTTTTCAGTGTCGTGGATTTTAGGGAGATTAAGCTGTTGCGTTGACACTGTTGGATGGTCTCGTCTGCTGTGTTGGGGGTGCTAGGTGGAAAAGATGAAGGTTGACGTGAGGAAGGCCAATCTTGTTATGAGGGGAAGGCTGTGATGACCTTGACTATGTTGAGGGAGGGATTGCTGTTTGTTTCCAAAACAAAGGGAGAAAAATTGTTGGTGTGTTGCAGCCGTTGTCACTGGCGACGAAAGATTTGAAGTGTTGGATCTCTAGTGGTTGCGCAAGGGTGGATGGTTGCGGTTTGGTTGAGGAAGTAGTATGTCTAGGGGCGTTCGGTTCGTGTTGAAGATGAATGGTAGTGTTTTTTTTTTTTTTTAGATCTTAGCTATAAACAAAAAGAATAAAGTTGTTTTTTTTGGTCAACTATTGATGATGATTCTACACAAATTTGTGTTAAATTTTGAGGATTTTCAAAAGCTCAAAGAGATCAATTAATTGTGAGAACAATTAAAAGCTTGTGGTCTGATACCAAAGTTGTGAAAAAAAAAAAAAAAAACTAAAAGCAGAGGCACCAAAGTTGTTGTGAAAAAAAAAAAAAAAAAACTAAAAGCAGAGAAAGAAGGAAGCCAAGAATTAAAAGCTGGGAAAAAAAGCTAGGAAGCAGAAAAAATTCAGAGGAGAAATAGTCTTTTATTTTATCAATTCAAGAAAACTATTTGATAAAATGAAAAAGAACCATATAAATAGCATAACCTTAAAACATCCAACCATTGGACTTAGCCCATCAATTAAAACTGTCTAACATAAATAACCCAAATAAATAAACAAATAAACAATAAAATAAGACTAGATGAGCTCAGTCTCCCATTCAAAGAGTGACATACTAAGCTATCCTTCATTGTCTTTGTCTATATACTTGTGTAATCCATGGTGTGGGTCTGGTGTCCCCACCCACATTACTCACCCGCATTACTTTGCATTCGTCCTGGCAAAGCAGTGTCCAGGAGGGATGCCCTGGACAGTAGATAAAATCTTAACCCCCTGCAATTGTGCAAGAAATGGCTGGTTTCTTTGAACAAGAAGAAGCAGGCTCTTTTGCTTGATAATGACGACAATAGAATTTTACCATTTCATTGCTGATTGTCTTTGCAATAGATTCTCTAATTGAAATTTAAGATTTATGATTTGTTTGTCTTTATTGCTTTCCTTATTCTTGCGCTACCTGGCCTCTCTTTGCACTTATTACTATGTTTGCCATTATGCACTGAAGTCTACTGACCATCATGAATCTACAGGTTCGAAGCAGAGCTGTGACTTTGGAAAAATATATTTGCTCAAGTGAAGACATCTTGAAGTATGCTTCAAAGCTGCTAAAGGCTGAACTTCCTATTTCTTTAAGGTTGATGGGTAAGAATTTGCATTATGGTTTATACAGCCTTTTGTCTGAGGGTGAAATTGAATTGTTTTGTGTTTTGATACATGTGTCTCTCTCCGGGAGTTTTCTTACATACTGGGAAATGTGTTTGGACGGAGAAGGAATCTTGAATGAGCATAATCTAATGCCTTGTAGGACTTATAAAATGACAAATCATTTTATGTGTTTTCAGGCCTACGCTTGTCTCATTTCAATGAAGACAAGATTGGTGCCCCATCTGATCCAACACAAAAAACTCTCAACAACTTCATCGTGTCAGTAGATTTATCTAGGAAAAATTTGGATGATCCAAAATCCTTGGGATTGGATATTAATGATCAACACTTAATGAACAATATGGAAGGTTCCTTTTCTATTGAGAGTCATGAGTTACAACATTACGGAATCAGAGATCCACTGGACAGCAATAATCTACAGGATCTGAATGTTCACCACTGCACTTCCACTGATAATGTTGAAGCTGAGAAAATCCATGAACCTTCAAGCAACAAAACTGCGGACAAGGTATGTGGCAAGGAGAAAGAGTTGTCCATGACTTGGCTAGAAATAAATTCAAATTAGCGGGCTCCTCACTTCTTGTTATCTGGTTACTTATGTCAATCTCTAAAATGACTATGCAGTCATTTTAGAGTGGCAACTTAGATTGAATTCTGATTTTCTTGATTCTTAGTCTTTCTCTTTAGCTTTATTCTTCTCTTTTGTCATTTTCAAGGTGATTACCAAGGATATGGCAGGGGAAGTGTCACAGCAGAAGGAATCAGGCTTGTCCTTACCTGGACAGCTTGAGGGGGGAAGCCCTGACAGAATGAACCTGGTCATCATGGACAATGAGGCAGTCTTTTCATCTGAACAGAAAGATGGGTTAGTTTGGGTGGATGACTACAAGTGCTCGCTATGTGGGATTGAAATGCCGCCATATTTTGATGAAGAAAGACAAGAGCACTCCGACTTCCATCTTGCAGAGAGGCTTCAAAAGGATGAGTCCAGAATAGACTCGAGAACTTCCACACTGAGGCAGAGGTTGTTTTTTATATACGTGTGGGTGTGCACGCGCGCCTATAATTTTCTTTTTCTGATCAGTGACCCTCTCCCTCTTCAATCTTAATGCAACTTATCAAGTCGTGGATTGTACTTGGATCACGGACACTGCTTTACTCTTTTTTCTAGGGGTTCTACTAAACTAAGTGATCATTGATGTTATCTGTATGTATTGGGTGTCAGTAATTTTTACTTTCCTTTTCTTGTCCAAACACCATATCAATCATCTTAGCTGCCTCGTATGAGATATAGGAGATTAGGTAGGCGCTAGAGAATGGGGTTGATTTTATGCTTACCAAATACGAAAGAAACTGCATTTCTTAGGATAGCTTCCGCATTTCCTGTAATGATCTTCGTTTGATCTGACAAGTTTGAAACTCTTTCAGGTCTGTCCAGAAGGACGACATCTCAAGCCGAAGCAAACGTAAGAAGCGCAAACCATCTCCGAAAGAAGGCGGGCATCTTTCAATTGACATGTTCTTTGCTAAGAGCAATCAGAATTTCTAGCGTTTTATTCTGCATCCTCCCAGTATATGTAGTTGTATCATTCTTTATATTACAGAAAAACTATAGTTGTACAATCGTTTATACCAACCTTAGCAATTGCCGACGGCAATTCCTTGTAATTATACAATCTAGTAAATTATTATTTGATTCCAATGCCTTAATGAAATAATCAGTTCAGCTCATTTGATGTAATAAATCCAATACCGAGTTTAGGCCTTTGGAAGCAATTTTAATTGTGTTTCATGATTATAACACATGTTTATATTCTAATTTTATCGCTATCCTGCGGAAATGACAACGACTACAACAACAAGAAAATTATAAGAGTGATAACATACAAATAAGCAAATAATTGAATATGTATTATCCCTGGGGTAAGCAAAAAGTTTTAGTTCTTAGAGCTCGAGGTAGGAGTCAAATGGGAATCCAATTTGTGCCTCGCTTTACCTCATTCTGGATATCTACATGATCAGAACATCAACCAATCAAAACCTCTGACCACTCCCCGGACCCCGTGCACTGCCTGTCTCAAAGTTACCATTCAGTTTCCTCTTTCATTCTGCTCCGTTTCTTAACGACTGAGAAAAAATGGAACTAACATCCGTGACTCCTACCTTCAAAATCTCTTTGCTAAATCCAGGAAGACAAGCAAGATTCCATGTCTCTTACTTAATCACACCACTTTCCTGTTTATCATCTCCAGACCAAATGACACCAACCAAAACCCTCTTCAGTTCTCTCAAAAAGAGCAACATTCTATACGGGAATAATGCTAACACCATAAAAAATATACCTAGACCAACCATGTCTGAAATATTGGCAGCATCGAAGGTCCAGAACCTTGACCTTAAGCTACAAACTGTAGGACCCTTTTTTAGAACCACAGCCAAGAGTCCTGAAACTCAAAATGAGCTTGGGAGAGCTGAAGGGCTTATAAGGTTATGGTTAAAAGGCAAGATTCTTCATTTAGATTCACTAAGATTGAAAAGAGAGACGCTTGGCATGGAAAAATCCATCTTTGGCACTGGTTTGTTCATTGGAGCTGTTGCTATTCGGTATGGTTATGACTGTGGTTGTAAGACTGCTGAGTTGCTTGCTATTAATGACTCTGATCTTTACCATTCCAAGGTTATTTGCCTTCACTTTCACTTTCTCTTATCAGTTTACCAAATCAAATCAGCTCTCTTATGTCTTGGTAAAGTTATGATTTGAAAACAACTCTCAATTATATATTTTAAACTCAAGAACCCCTTCCCTTCTCTGCTTTAGGTCTTTTGGATGAATTTATCTTCTTCCGTTACCTTTTCTTGAAGAATTAAAGTTGTTTCAATCTGATTGTTTAGACAGAAACCCTACAATTTTGTGGGTTACTGTCAACTATGATAACCCTTTAGGCACCCACATGGTTCAAAAAAGATGATGGTTACTGGAAACTGGAAAGAATACATTCTTGGATCTTTTATGGAGCAGATATAAAATCTTACCTAAATGGTTGAATCTGTTATAACTGTATTGCCTTGTTTCTTGTTTTACTAGCTTCTCAGGTTCTATACAAGAATTGGGTTCAAGACTATATATGAAGCAACAGGTTCAACTGTAGGAGACCTTCCTCACATGTTGGCCTGTGGTGGCATAGGAACCAGAATGGATGCTGATGTTGAAGATCTTCTAATAAATTGGTGTGCCAGGTTTAAGAGTCGAGAATGAATGTTGTGATCCATTGCTCATGCAGTTTATCCTGCAATCATGTGGTTCAAAGGCTGGAATTCTGAACTGAAATGAATTATGTTTGGTTCAAGGCATTGGCCTAAATTATTGCCCTGACCTAATAGCTTGGAGAAATAGAATGATTTTCCCAGAACATGCTCATACTTTTCGGTTGTTACCAAGATGCAAATAAATTTTATTGCAGGTTTGATGGGGCCAAAAGGAAGGAAAAGGTAATTGCTCTTTTTATATGGTGGCATATTTCACTGGGAAGAACTCGAAGTATAAGTGAATGCTACTTAAACTTGCAAGTCATTACATTTCCCTCATAACAATGATGCTAAAGCACAGAGCTTACATGAAGAAACATCATTGATTACATATTTATCTTCAGTTTTCTGATACTGGTTAAATACTGTGTTCAAGATTTTGTACGTGTTCAGGCAGTAGAAGCAGTTTTTGCATTGATTTTTTTTTTCTGGGAATAATTTGCCAGCAACTGCTTTCATGATTTTGCAACCTAGTTCATATTTGAGCAGGTAGAATTAAGTTTCCACTAAAAATGTATTGCAACTACTATTCGTTTTGCAAATGATAGGCTCTTGTATTGCAGTATGGCTTGAGTGAAAGCTGTTTCAACATCTAGAACGTTCCATATCATTTTTTTTGTCTCATTAAAATGAAAAAATACAATAGAAATGGTTACCTGCCATATTCTAGGAATAACTAATCACCAAAGTTTCTACATGACAATAAACGATAGAAAATTTGCAAACTTGCGTGTGGGTTTGTGTGTTATTGAAGTGATCAAACTAATTGATCATGATGGATTGCATAATCTATGATCAGAAGAGTGAATTGCATCCAAAGATAAAAATGTAGGATCTGTCAGACAACATGACAATCTAAGAAACAACAAAAACATGATGGCTTGAAAAAGTGTACTTGCGCACTTTTATGGTGCGCACTAAACTGTTGATACGATTAAAGCAGTGAATCTTTGTTTGCCTTTCTTGCAGAGCATCAAAAGAAGGAAATGAGGAATCAGAATTGCATCAGCTGAACCACATAACTGAAAAATGAAGAAACTTTCCGAACGCGAGAGAGAGACCAAATCCAATTGCAGGAATAGTGCCAAGGGCTCTGGTGTCAAATTCACTAGAAACTGTTATCTTTGACTTGGATTTGATTTTATGCTGCCGGAGAGTGACCAGCATTCACGACTGTCATACCTTGCCTTAATTGTTATTGGATCGTTAATAATCCATGATCGTCCAACTATCAGACCATTCTACTTTGTTGAAAACACCCGATGGATCGTTGCTGCTGCTGCTGCATCTTTCCGCTCATGATCAAAATAATGGACCCACGATGCCCTTAGCAAGCCAGCCTTGTATCTCCTGAAAATTTTAGGCACAGAGAGTTGTCTTAATGTCTCCTTCCCTTTTGGGGCAGTTGTGGATATTGACAGCAGCCACAAGCATTAATCATGCTGTCTATTGGAAGTTCTTTGTCTTGGAATATGTTGAGAGTTTAACTAGGAATTTTCGTTCAAAGTGTTCACTAATGCAGGGAAATAACTAAGTAATTGATGCATCACAATTCGGCTTTGTGATGCAAAAGCCTGCGTCATACATGCTAAATTGTCTAGAAGTAGTATGGTACTTTGTTCCATTCCAAATGCAACATGTGGAGTTCCAACAGTTGTGGAAAACTCAGTTTCAGTTGCTGCATCGTTGATCGAAGGAACAGATGTGGCTAAAGTTGCATTTTCGTGGAAGGATCGAAGATGATACTGGAATGGAAACAAGGATGGCTTGTTACTGCATATGCAATGTATCAGAAGCAAAGGTGATTAAATCTCACCAAAAATGCATCTGAAGAAAATGAAATTAGCAAAACAGAAAGCCTTAGTTCAGCTATAAAAGAAAAAAAGTATAAAACAAAAACTAAAAAAATGCATTTAAGTTGTATTTCATGCCTATTCTAATTGTAGATCTTGCAGATTGTTCTGCATTTGGGGATACATTAGCTACATCCAAAATTTTATCCTCAAATGCAAGAACTTGATATTAGATCATACATGATTTCACTGGAGATTCATTGGATATGTATGGATGCTGTTATCTTCTTACATGGATGCGAAACTGGCAGACTCGTGACTGTTTATCTACCTGCATTTCCTTTCATCTTTTTATAAAACATGAGATTTAATGCCATGTGTTCGTTTAATTTTCAATGTTTCATGTCATTGCATATGATCATTTAAGTAAGAAGAAGACAATTCATGCATGGAAACGGAAACTTAACATTTCTTTCCATGATCACAAGGTATTCAATGTGGTTTAATCTTGGCGAGCGTAAGGAGTCCATACCATGCTAGTGTTGTAATGTGGCAATCTCAGCTCAATTGTATTCTTTGTGAATGGCGATGTTGTCTCACATGCGAGGGTTGTTGAGAACTGCCATTATATGAATGACGTCAGGTAGGGTAATACTGAAGTAAAAGAGCATAATTTGAGTTTGCAAGAGCGAGCTAAGAACTAAGCACAGGAACCCACCCGTGAAACCGTATCCACTTTGGCTTTAATGGCAGTATGGGTCTCCCCGAAATCTAATTATGTGACAATACCTTCTTTAAGGCGATCTCCAAGTTTGGAAAAATATGCTGCTGGGGTCTGCACAATCCAACACGTATTCAAATTTTGCTCGATTCATCAGAAGGATTAGTATACTAAAAACCAAACAAGAAACCATTACAGTGAAGGAGAATTCATAACATACCACTCCAGTATTAGAAGTTGAAATGCTAAAGACTTGGTGATTACTGTAGAGTAGCACGTTTGAAAAATAGTGACAATCCATTATAAGATTTGAAGAGAAATTCCTCAGTATTCAGTTAAATTTTGTGAGCCCGCATTATCAAGAAAACTAGTCTATGCATTGTCTGAAAATATAATAGAGAATGTTTTATTATCAAAGCAGATACACCACAATACTACACAATAAATACAATAATATTACATAATAAAAATACAATTCCAAACACATCAAATGTGATAAGCCCCAGCAAATATTCAACAATAAATGTTGTTTCTCTTCAGATGAGAAAGTATCATAAATTTTAGATATTGATTGATTGTCTTATTAATAATTTTTGGCTATATTAAATAAGCAAAATCGGTTAGGAAATTGAAATAAAAGGAAAGCTGGTAACTCACAATTTGAGATTACCCATGTAAAAACTGAATGTAACACGTACGAAATAATAAGCATAATAATTATAACAAACTAAAATAAAAGGATGAAAAAGTCGCAATTGCAAATGACCCAGTCTTATAAGTGACCCAGTCCATCCCAGCACAATCTTTACGTGACCGTGGATATACGTCGCTTGCCTATAAATTCTCTTCTGAATACCTGCATGCTACATGCATGCTATATTCACGTTCAATCTTCCTGCATGACACATGCAGTTAACAATTCACATTCAACTTCAACTCATGTATTTAAGATTTGGCCTAAGGACCTTTGTTGATCGACGTGGCTTATCAATACCTCCCCCATTATGTGAACCCTTGTCCCTAAGGTTCATGTTTGGAAACAACTCCAGCAGCTGTTTGGTGGATACCCATGTCGCTTCCTCTACTGATAGATATTTTCAGTGCGTTAAACTCTCTTCGACAATTTGAACGCCTTGTTTGATCTAGTGGCGATTGATAACAACTTATGGTGTCAGTAGGACTTCCTTATCTTCACTTAATGATAGGATTTATGTGCTATGTTCACCAACATCTGTGTTGATGTTGTACCCTTTGAGCAAGGAGACATGGAATATCAGACGAATACACGACTCTGCTGGTAAGTGGAGTTTGTAAGCAATGGGGCTAATTTTTTCCAGAATTTCATAAGGCTCATAGAAGCGGCTGGCAAGTTTATGGTATTCTCTTTTAAAAACTGTTTGCTGGTGATAAGGATGGAGTTTCAAAAGCACTAAATCACCATCATCAAATGACACATCTCTTCATTTTTTATCTATAATTTATTTCATCTGATTAACTGAGCATGCATATCTATGATTTATTTCATCTGATTAACTGAGCATGCAAGGTTGACCTTGAGTTGTTCGAGTAATTCATCTCAGTCTTGTAATTATTGATCCACTTCATGCACTGGCGATAGTCCTTCATTGTACGATGGAATAGTAGGTGGTAGCCTCCCATACAGTGCTTGAAAAGGGGTTATGCTGGTTGAGATGTGGTACGTTGTATTGTACCAGTATTCTGCCCAAGTTAATAGAAGCTCCATTTTCTTGGCCATTGGTAGACAAAGCATCTAAGATATTGTTCAACACATCGATTGACAACTTTCGTTTGGCCATCGATCTGTGGGTGATATGCAGAGCTGAATTGCAATTTAGTACTTGACATCTTGAAGAACTCTTGCTAGAAATGGCTCATAAAAATTGGATAACGGTCGCTGACGATAGACTTTGGCATGCCATGAAGCTTAATAACACCTTCTATAAATTTCTCTGCAACACTTTTAGCTGTAAAAGGATGTTTTAAGGGAAGAAAATGAATTGATTTACTGAGCCTATCGACAACTACCATGATGGCATCCTTGCCCTGTGAGTTGGGCAATCTCTTAATAAAATCTAGTGTGATGTCAACCAACACTTGGCAAGGAATAAGCAATGGCTGGAGGAGACCTGTGGGTGCTAATGTTTGTGACTTTGTTTTTTGGCACACCACACAATTATTGATATATTCTTGGACCGATTTATGCATCCATGGCTAATAGAATTGTTTTCCCAGTTTTTTATAGGTGCGCAGTACACTATAGTGGCCAGTTATCTTGGTATCATACATTTCATGTAGTAGCTTTGCACATAGGGTAGAATCTGCTGGGACGATGACCCATTCACTGTAACGAAGTAGGCCATTGCGCTACATATAGTGGCTATGTAGTTGGTTCGTGGTTGCCTAGCTCATGAATTGTAAGTACGAATCTGTCTTTGCCATTTGCTTAATTTCTTGCCAAAAGGTAACCTAAGGAACAAAAAGATAGTGAAGAACAACACTACCTTGTTTGTGAAAGAGAGCATCAGTTGTAGAATTTTCATGTTCGGGATAGTATGTATCTTATAGTCATAGCCTAAGAGCTTGATTATCCATTTTTGTTACTTTGGTGTGGTGATACATTGCTCTAACAAATACTTTAGGCTTTCTTGATCCGTGTGAATATAAAACTTTCGTCTTAGAAGATATGGCCATCACAAATGTATAGCTTCAATGATGGCCAACATCTCTTTAGTGTAAGTAGACCAAGGTTTTTTTGCCACCCCAAGTGCTCAACTCATAAATGTCACTGGTTTGCCTTGCTGGGTTAATACTGCTCCAATACTATCTTTTGATGCATCAATTTTGACAATGAAGACGTCTTTGAAGTTTTGCATTGCTAGCATTGATGTAATTGTCATGGCTTGTTTGAGTGCAAGGAAAGCAGTTTCAACTTTCTCATGCCATCCGAATTGGCCTTTCTTAAAGAGATTGTTAAGAGTCTGCGCCATTATGCTATAATTTTTTATAAACTTCCTGCAATATCCTATCAACCTGAAACACCCACGTAGCTCAAAAATATTAAAAGGTCGTGGCCATGCCACTATTGCTGTAATTTTATTGTTGTTTACCTTCACTCTATGATTGGTGATTATATGCCTTAGATACTCTAGCTCTTGTTGGCCAAAAACATATTTATTAGTTTTGACAAAAAACTGATGCTACTTTAATATCGCTAGAGTCTATCTTACATGCATTAAATGCATGTCCTAAATAGGACTATAGACTAATATGTTATCAAAGAAAACTAGTATAAATTTTCTAAAATGAGGTCGAAATATAGAGTTTATGATAGCTAGAAATGTAAAGGGTGTATTACATAAGTCAAATGGCATAACCAAGCATTCATAATGTCTGCTATGAGTTCGAAAAGCAATTTTTGGAATATCCATAGGATTAACCCGTACCTAATGATACCCAACTCTAAAATCTAGCTTGGGGAAATATGAAGCACCATAGAGCTTGTCTAACATATCATTAACTGTGGGAATAGGGAAGCAATCCTTTATGGTGGTAGCATTGAGTGCACTATAATTTGTGCAAAAATGCCAAGTTCCATCATTTTCTTCACCAATAGTACAAGTGATGAAAACAGGCTTGTACTTGGTCGAATAAGGCTGGAATTTAGCATTTCGTTGACTTGTTTCTCAATTTCCTCATTTTAATAGTACACATAATGGTATAGTCAAACATTAATAGGTTCGATTCCATCATTGAGAGAGATGCAATGATCAACTTCTCTAATGGGTGGTAGACCTATCAATTTCTTTAATAGTCTTGAGAACTCATGCAAGATTGCCTTTATATCAGGATGAATTGTCTTGTTGTGTAGCTCCATAACACTAACTTGTAGACATATTGCAAAAATAACATGGTTCTGACAAGCCTCTTTAGTTAACTCATTGATTGATGCAATTTGAATGGCTTCATCGTCTGTTCCTTATAACCGCCTAATTTGGTTCTTCCACATAAATTTCATGGTTAACTATTTCCAGTTGCAAACCATGAAATCCAGCATTTGTGGCCATTGGATTCCCAGGACTAGATCTAACCCAATAAGAGGAAGAGAATAAAGAGTTAAAGAGAAATGAGTGTCTTATAAGTCCACTCCGATCTTTTCAAAACACCTCTGTTAAAGAGAAATGAGTGTCTTACAAGTCCACTCCGATCTTTTCAAAACACCTCTGACACTTTAATTTCTCGCCATTCGTTATCCTTACCGTGAAAGTTGTGGTTGGCACCACCAGGCCAATCTTTTGCTTGTGAAGTTGTGAGTTAATCCACTGTTGATGAGTGCTATGACCTCGTGGGAACCTATCCTGGCAGCTGTGCACATAGTCTTGGGTGCGGCCCATCTTGTCAATGCATGTAATGTAATTTTTGGTTTGGTGGTTACCTCATAATTCTCTTGACCTGGTTGTTCTTCATTTTTATTATCACATAAAAGAGTGTTGTTGCCATCATAACCTTCCAACATTAGTATTCATGGCTCTCGACATTTATGTCTTGTAGTAA